TTTAGCTTAAGGTGTTACGTTAAAGTTTATAAATAAATAAATAAATAAATAGTCAATTTACATTTGGGATAGTTTGGTCGCCTATCACAAGGGACCATATCCAAGAATAATTTGAAGTCCGATATGAAAAATAAATAAAATCACATTTCTGTGGCTAGTAAGTTGAAAAAACTAGCTCCGTAAAATAAAGAAAACAAGAGTACCGTATTTGAAACATATCGCAAATTTTCTTAGAGACAAGAAATGACAAACAGCATTTATAGTTGAATTGTATTTCAATTACAGTAGGATTGTAGAGGTCGCATTGTATTCAATGTTTCAATTGAATGCAGTGCCGGTTTGAAGCGAAACTACTATCTAACAAAAGATAGTACATACATAATAATACTGGCTGAATGTAATAGAACGATTTGTTGAGCAAACGTTCAATTTTCGAGGCACCGTAACGTTGGTAGCCTACCTCTATTATTGGTAATCAATGCAAGGTAAGCAATAGTTTTATAGGCGACTAGCCTTTGCTCGGGTCGGGCTCGGGTTTGTTCTTTTATTAATTAGTTAATTTAAATGCAGTGTAAAACATAAAAGCCGAATAGAATTAAGGAATCGTATAAAATCCTGTAAAAGAACTTTATAAATAGACTAAAGTGTATTTAGCTTCAGATAAAATATTAAACTTTGTTTAAAACAGAAAGAGCAGACGCTTTTTATTAAAATATTTATTTTTGTTATTAGTTTTAAAAGGCATTACATATGCTTTATTTGTTATGAAAATTTAGTTTAAGAGGATTATCCTCTACTTTTCTGCGTACTAAAATATTATGTAATGAGATTTACAGCGCAACAAGGCCTAATCTTAAATAGAACGATAAAGATAAAAGGTTTTTAAGGTGTAAGATCTCGTAGTCGATGTTATATATTTGTGCCTCGCGTCCATTCATTTTGTCAGTGTATGTAAACAAAAATGTCATATCTATAATACTCTCACGTTTCCTTTTGGTTCTTGCGTAATTCAGTCGCGTACACCTGAGTCCAGAGCAACCGTCCAATTTCCCCACAATGCACTGCACACGCGCAAACAATAGTTGCTTACTGCCCTGTCATGTACATCCGGCAATCATCCTAAGTGTAGTTGAGATTACCGTCGGTCCTTGCCTTCTGTGTGGTCAGTTCTTTGTTCGCATTTATTTGTGTTAATGCTGCGTGTTTAGGGTCTATACGACTCATTATTATTTTCTTTAATTATTAAAATACTACACCTTATATTGAGAATTACAAATCGTGGTTTTAATGTATCATGAAATTTTCTACCGGTCGAATCTAAGTGATTTGAGAAAAAATGGCATTTCCACTTAGCTTAATAAATAAAAGTAGCAACAAATAAAACAAAATTAAAATAATCCGAAGAAACAAAAGACCATGACGTAAATGGTTAAATAGATAGCAAATAATAAAACGTACAAACATTATACAATATCAAGTATATTGAAAGATCTAGAAGGATCCTAACACAGTTCCGTCTGTTGACGAGTGGGAGGATATTACATGCGTGAGAGGCGGTTACTACATCCTCAGGTGATGTCGATAACCGAATTATCGATATGCGATTAGAGTGTTAGCAGGCCTCTATCACTCTTGCTACCTACGTGAAGTGATTACCTAAAATCGCGACGCGCCCGGGCGAAATAACGCAGTCAGGGCTAGCGCGTTGGAGGCGATTGAATGTTAAAGTTTTATAACGCTCTTGACGTATAAAACTTTTTGTAAATATTGTTGAAATAGTTTTTGTTTAGTGTTTAGTATATTTAATTATAGGATAAAATAGTTCAAAAGTTTTAATGTAATTTAAGAACTATATATTACGTATGTTACCCATTATTTAATAAAGTTTAATATGGCAAAACGTCGTTCCTACTATAATTATTGCGTGGATAGACGTTAAATGACCAAGAAAATATTTCAGATATATCGTTCTTTATTACCCAAGGATTTTAGTAGAAAGTTATGAATAGTGAATTTATTTAATTTTTATTGTTAGATAGGTACTTATAGCAAAAAAAATTAAGTAATAATTTATTTAATGTCTACGAACTTTATTACAAAATTGAGTGGAAATTTACTTCACTTATCTACTTACGTACATATACTTGCCTTTTGTATTAAAATATTAAGCTGTTATTTTAGCTTAAAATATTTTAAGCTAAAATGACACAAAACACTGAAATCAAAACTTTCTTTACCAACAAAAATTTTAACTAAGTAGAATACGATTAAATTTCCGTTAGGAATCGTATTTCAAATTTATTTGTTGTGTACACTATCTCTACCTTTTCCTTCCGAGCCAAGCGTCGCGATTCCCGACGAATGGCCTTGCAAGTTGCATGCGTTAGGCATCGCAGAACTCACGTATGTACGGAAATATGGTCTGTCGATCATAGTCAGAATAGGTATTTCACCTAAGTAACCTAATTAACATTTCGCAATGTATTTTGTTACTCTTTATTGACATCCCTCCATAACAACGGAAAGTCCACCGTAACGTAGGAAGAGGAAAATGTGCAAAGTAATATGTACACTCTCGCGCAGCGATAAAGTTTTATTTAGCTTGCGAGCGCGATATATCTAATTAATAATAATTATGTAGGCTATTAAACGTCGGCAAGCAGTCGACATTAAAAGAGTGAAACTTCCGTACGTAGTACTATTATTTATTCTGTGGTATTAGCATTTAGAATTGAAAAACATAAGTCTTTCATTTATGATACGACCTAGTAATTTTAAAATGGGAGATAGGGAAAAGTAAAATAGGGCGTTAATTACTAGGATCTTATTTTTGTTCATTTTTGTAGACAAAAAATTAACAGGGACAACGTTATACTTAAATTAACTCTCGATTCTGTACATAAATTAAAGATAGCAGCAATTGAGCGGCTTGTAACCCTGAGGACGCTGTTATTGTATATATATACGTTATTAATACGTTATGGATTTATTTGTTGTAAGAGACAAAATTTATTTTCCTGCTTTAGGTGTGCTAAAGAGTTCATTCATGGAGTCTCCTATAAATTAGCTTTCGCTGTTACTGTAGTCGATTGAAGTTATCGTTTTGAGAAAAAGTTTCTATTGCATAGATCCCATGACTCTACTAATATTACCAATTATCTATTAACTCTTATCAGCACCAGCACTTTGCCATTTGATAAAAGGTTACCTTTTTGGTCTAGTGGTCGTAAAAACGACATCAGATTTGAGGTCCCGAGGGGATTATTCTGTCAAGAAATTCTCAGTCAGCTCGGAGTCAAGAAGTTGGTGTTGCTTCACCTTTGTGCTCCGGAAAGCATGTTGTTGGTCCTGCGCCTGGTCTTTCTGCGATTGTGTCGATTTGCCGTTCTATCGGACTATGAAAGTGAGGGAATAGATAGTGCACCTATCCTTCGTATACACACGGGATTAGATCGGATTCAGAATAGCATCCGTAACCGAAATTCAGTCTGGAGGAAATTATTAATAAAAATTGATAGATTTCAAGGCACTTGTTGCGACCATGTTTCTAAAATAGTTATGGCATTTCAATAACACTGACTGATTTATATTTTGAAGTCATAAAAACGCGGTCTTTCACTACAGACGATAGTTTTCAAATATATGATACGACCAAAAAGATACTGGGATAGTCATTCAAAATATGAGAGGAGTTTGTTCGGTGCCACATATTGTAGTCTAGAGCAGTGTTCCGCAAACTTTTTGTGTTCAAGGTACACCTAGGAAAACGAAAAAAAAATTGAGGTACACCAGAAATTAAAAAACAGTTTTTAAGTAGTATTAATCAACTTTTATTATTAATCAAGAAACCTAAACTTTAAAGTTCGGAAAAGGTATTTAATGCCAAACATGAGACTGTTTAATTGAGCATAGACGGTCTAAATTTGGAGTAATCGCTGACAGGGCTGCTCTCATTTCTTCGTCGATCGTCCTGAGGCGTTCCCTTTTTTTGGTTTTTATTGTGGTAAAAGTCGAAAATCCTAATTCACTCAAATAGGTCTTTCTAAGCATGCTATTGCAAAAGTATTGCAATAGCATACTTAGAAAGCAGAGCTTAGAAAGCATTTCTCACACATAGCCAAAACGTTCTAAATCAGTTTCAGAAAATTTTTGATTTTAATGTGCGATCCGTTTTCATTTCCATCAGTTCTTCCTGCTCATTTACTGGTAAGTAGCCGAAAGGAATGTTCTCGAAGAATGGATTTCGAACCCAGTCCATAGGTTGCAGATCACGCTTAGGGAAATAGAAATTATTTTTTTCTGCTTTTCTGCTTTAAGTGTTTGACAATCAAAGCCTGCACCCTTTTTCCTGGATCAGCTGCCATGACATTTGGGAACATTTCATTACTTACCATTCGTAGCGAGACTGATCCATTGTTCCAATTTAGCGCGAAAGCTTTCAATTTTATCCGACGATGTCAAAATATTGGAATTTCTGCCTTGCATTTTTTATTGAGCTCATTTAAGTGAGCAAATATATCCGTCAGATATGCAAGTTTTGCTAGTCATTTTTCTTTTTTTAAATAAATGTGCATAATCTGAATCCTGGGAATGCAAAAACATCTCAGTCTCATTTTTCAAGTCATAAATTCGGGAAAGTACTTTGCCGCGAAAAAACCATCGTATATCTGTATGAAACAAAAGCGAATGATGATCTGCCCCCATTTCTTGACACAGTGCATTAAAAAGACGAGAGTTCAGCGGTCGCGACTTTATGTGATTGACGATTTTGATAATTTCTTGAAGAACGCGTAATAGATCGTCAGGTAGAGACTTCGTTATAAGAGCTTCCCTATGGAAAAAACAATGCTGTTTTTGAACATTAGGATTTTTTAAGCAACCATAGCTAAAGAAACCATAGTTAAAGCCTTTAACCTTTCCTGTCATAGCAGCTGCGCCGTCTGAGCAAACACTTATACAGTTATGCCATTCCAAATTATGCTCATTGAAAAATTTGTCCGTTACTTTAAATATTTCTTCACCGTTGTATGGTTAGACAGTGGCAGACAAAATAAAAAGTCCTCTTTTAATTCACATCCATCAATGTATCTAACATTTGAGATGAGATGCGCGTGGCCACTGATGTCAGTGGACTCATCAACTTCTAGCGCAAAAACTCCACTAACTCTCAATTTTTCAATCAACGTCGATTTAATGTCATTGATTCGACGTGAAATTGTTTCTGCCGATGCAGGTATTTTTTCAATTTCTTTAGCAGCTTCTTGGCTAATCATTATCTTGACAATTTCTATGCAGACAGGTAAAACTACAGTTTCAGCAAGAGAGTGTGGCTTTTTCGCTTTAACTAACATATTAGCGATTACGTAGCTTGCTTTTTTGTGCTTTTTCTGAGGTTTTGAAAGACGAACTCATGAGATTTACCTGCTTCTTCAATTGGTCCTTCAAACGTTGAATATAACTTTTGTCTTTTTGGGCTACTGATGGGTGTTTAGTAGTTAAATGTATTAGTTTACTGGGCACCATCGAAATATTACCCAACGTTTCTCCGCAAACAAGATATTTTGGGGTAGGACAAGATTCGTCTCCGCAATATGTAAAACCGTAATTTATGTAGCTTTCGTCATATTTTCGATGAACAATTTTGGGTTTCTTTTTCATTGACTCTTTTTCTTCTTCATTACTTTTACCTGACAAACTTACACTACGTTTAATGAATTTATCCATTATTTTAACGCTTATTTTACGCTTAGAATAATAAGCATAACAATACGCGACGAAACAAAAGCGTGCGGTGAATTTAAACGGCGCACTCGTACTCATATGGACAGACTGGTGAGCCAGAGAGTTCAGGTAGCGTTCGGGCGGGGAGCCTCCGTCCCCGCCTCACGCGACGCACCGGCCGCCACCGCCCGCGCATAACGAAACCACAGAATTAGATGAACGAAACAAAACGCCTCGCTCGTGCGCTCGCGTGATTTGTGTAGGTATTTTACTTACCCTTACTTACTTACTAAAAGTAATTTTATAAGATAACCTTATTTTTCCACGGCACACCAACTAATGATCACGGTAAACCAGTGTGCCGCGGTACACACTTCGCGGAACACTGGTCTAGAGTATTTTCGGAGATTTTATTGTCTATCACTACAGTTAATTGTTAGTTCTCGCAACTTTGGTATAAAACCGATTATATAATAAAATGGGATGATATAATATTATATAAACAGACAGTCAGATAGACAAAAATTTTAAAAACGGTAATTTATATCTTACAGGCATGCTAATAACTCCATCAGCTCAATAAAAGTCAGTTATTTCGATATTGAAGACAGAAACTTCAATTCTATTTATGTGTATAATTTAAACATTTCACTAAACAAAATCTTAACACGCTTTTCTGGGTAAAGCCGAGTAAAAGCGTTATTTGTTTCAGTTCAACGACCTGCCATCCCGAAGAAAGTATAAATACTAGAAAACTAGTTGATAATTATTGGATACGTACTATGGTTGTTTATTGCGGTAACCGGCTTTTCTAAACCACAGCATCGCAGCGAACGAGTCTCCGCGACACTTGTCCATTGACAATCTAATTGCACTCAGTCGATTAATTCTATAGAGTAGTTCTTACCACCATATTATTTATTGTGCTTACTATTATATCATCATCACGGCTCAAGGAATACTACAAAACGTAGCCTTGAACTACCGACTTCCATCGACTTCATGCATTTATTTTCTTACTAACTCCACATACTTCGGCAGCAGCATCCTCTAATTTCTTTATTTAACATTATGCCATACATTCTCCAAGTCTAACTCATTCATACGAGTACACAATTCATCCAAACAACTAATATTTTCTCTAAGTCTACATTTGGACTTGTCTTTTATTCCATCGTCTAGTAACCTCTTCTTATTATACGCTGTAACGCAGTGGTAGACACTGATGTCCGATGCCGCCAACGTCTGAATTGACCATTAATTCACCAGGCCGTCGCCGCGTATAGCGGGAGGTACTGGTACGAGCCTGCAACTCAAGAAACTTTCCTACTCATCAGTTATCAATTCTTCGAGCGAGCCGGCCCATTGCCACTTCAACTTACTAATCTGTTTGGTTATGTTGGTTACTATGGTTCTACTGCAGACATCCTCATTTTGAATTCTATACCGCAGATAAAATTCGAGCATAACCGTTTCTATACCTCAGTGAGCAACCTTAAGCTATTCCTAATACGGACAGCAGTGAAGGACATCTTTGAATACAAGCAAATTTGTCCTTTAGGATGGTAAAAACGCTACCATAGTCGATAAAATTTTGTTACTATTTATGCTTTTTACATATTCATACGTGTCAAGATAAACAAGTAATAAAATGTTGCAACCATAGGAGAAAAATGTTAAAAAAGGCACCGCTACCCTACGTTCTCTATATCGCCTAAAAATTTTTCTACCACCTGAAATCAAGACAACGCTTGTGCAAAGTTTAATTTTTCCGCTAATCGAATATGGAGATGTGCGCTATTTCGACCTGAATGCAGATCTTCTCAACAAATATGACCGTCTTCTGAATAACTGCATTCGATTTATTTTCAAACTTTGAAAGTATGACCACGTACCCACATATCGATCTCAATTAAAATGGTTACCAATTCGTCAACGCCGTAGTTAGCGCGCACTCACCACCCTTTATTCTATCCCGATGTCTCCCGAGTCACGAGAGAAACCTCCGCTCTACAAACAACCTCCTTCTCTTATGTGCCTCCCATAGCTCTGGGATTGTTCATTCTTCTTTCCACATTCAATCTATTCTCCTTTGGAACGCACTCCCTCTTTTTTATATTTCATTTTATAAGTTTAAATATTTTTTGTGCCGTACCATTTATATCTTATGTATTTTGTTTCCATGTATTACAAAGTTTTTGTTATCTTATTGTTCTCATAACACCTACTTCATACTATCTCTGCATCACCCCAAGGTAGACTGGTATAGAATGCCTTAGGCATTAAGTCCGCCTATATACCACGTGTGTTCATGAAGTTTAAAAAATATATAAATAAAAATAAAACTAACAAATTGGTTTTATATTTTATATTTATGAATATTTTATAATTGAATGTTATTATTAAAAACAATTACAATTATTATTTTGAATTGTCTACTGATCATTCGTTATTTTTGTGTATATGCCCTACTAAATAATATGATGAGGTACTGGGGCCAAGCTTTTAGCTGCAACGCTCCACGCGAGTTGGATTCATGCACAGGAAAAACAGTTGATATGGCTTACAATTTTCTATATATAAAAATCAGATGCCGTCCGTTAGCCTCTAAAACTCGAAACGTTTCGACCGATTTTGATGAACTTTTTTGTGTTGGATTCGTGTTCCCTTGATGGTTTAGGTTCATATTTGGACCCAGTAAGTGGCGCTGTTGTCAGAAATCACCCATGCGAAGTCAGGGCGGATCGCTAGATACAAAAAAATTCAAAGGATGTAGTTAAAAGTAGCTAACTTGTTAGTATGAAATTGGAGTATATAAAACGCAAATTTTATATCGTATTGTTGAGTGGCTTATCTGCCTGTCAAGATTAGCAGTTATGTTCAATGGAGGAGAATGGGCCTACCAGTAAATTACTTTCGGTTTAATTAGGATGACGATCTTAAATAGAAAATTATGTAAAAGCTACTTTAATAATTATAAAACAGAAAACTAATAATCATTTGAAGGCGCTTATAGTCATTATGATAATATTTATAGTATACTCATATTAATAGTATACTGTTTAATGGGAGGTTATAACCACTTTCAAGATTTCCTTCGAGTGTCCAGTCTCACGCAAGTAGCGGTTATTGTGCGGCCGGCAGAACAACTGACAAATAAACACAACCTGTTGTTACATCATCTCCTACGCGCCACAGGAGCTTGAGCTTTACTTAATATCGTGAAGTGGAGACCACTTTTCACTGCCCACTCAGTAGAGTGATATCCGCGTTTATTAACGAAATATTTAGGTATCTATTTCGCTTCTCAACGCTTTAATAGCTTCGTAACTTTAAGTGTTAACTTGTTATATGAACATTTTTTGTGCAATTTTCTGCAATGTGAAATGTGCTTTATGAGGTGGGCGTAAAATAACTTATCACTTAATCTTGTCTTGAGATTGTTGTAAGAGGAAAATAAGGGAAATACCAGAAGCATAATATTCAAACCAGTGATGGATTTTAGGGTTTTAACGAGACGTCTCGTACTTAAATCACCAACACGCTTGCCAAGAGGGGCGATTATGTAGAATCCAGGGGTGATATAAGCTAACTGCGAAACTGCGAAAAAAGCTGTGGACTCTTATATCTTTTTCAATAGGAAAAGGGTAAAAAACGAGTACACAGTCCACCTGATGGTAAGTAGATGCTGTGGCCCGTAGGTATCTACATTTAAACTCGATTAAGAATAAAAATGCAGATGCGTTTTCACCCTTGAGGACTAGCATGGAATGTCTCGATTCCAGTAAAATGGGTCTCCGGTTGTCTACACTCACCATACGAAAACAGCAGCATTAAGGTGCTATTTTACGCTGGAATTATTTGATAACGTGTTCCTACCCCGGTTGAGCCAACCCAATCATGCTACAACTACAATAGCTGCAGCGTGGCTCTACAACGTATGAAAATGTGTTGACGAAGAAGGCAATAAGATTTAGAAGTAAAAGGGGATAGATGCAGATAATATTAACCTTATTTTATATGCTGTAAATTCATTGTTATAAATTTTCTTCTACACTATCCCAATCTTGGGTCCTCCTCGTCGTAAGAATTATTCGCCTCAAACGCCACGCTTGGTAGACGAATTGTTAATCACAGTACCAGATGTCAGGCATTTTGGCGCTGCGTTTCGTCGTCAATTTGGGTGTTATTTTGTCTTGCATAAACAAGTTGGTTAAATTCTATATCTAATCTAAATCTATTAGAAGCCATGAAATCTTTTTGTTGTATATCCTATTGTCTCCTTTTGTATTAAAAAGAATATTAACAATGCTATAAACATTACTAATATTCCCCTTAACCACTCGTGGTAAGCTTAAATTGCTTGTGTTACGAGTGGTTCACGCCAGTAGTCGAATGACGGATTCAAACCCACGACCTTTTTGAGTTCGCGGTAGGCTACTGTCGTAATTTTATCACACTTCCCGTCCTGTTGGCAATATAAAAAACTCACGCCTGTCACCCAGAGGGGTAGGCAGAGACTACAGACTTCCATTTGGCACGATCTTGACACACCTCTCTTGCCTCCTTCACATCCATACACCTACGCATACATGCTCGTCGGTTAAGGGTACTCCTAATTTGGCCCGTT